GCCGACTGTAAACTGTCTATAGGCTGTAAACTGGTGCAATTGTAGGGCTCAACTTGTTTGTTTCTTTTCTCTTAGGGATCACAGTCCTCTGCTTCCTGTGTGTCCAATGTCTGGAAACAGTTGCTTTTTATTCCCCCTGGTTGTTTAAGTGGGAGCACAAATCTAGCCCCTGTTATTTCACCTGAGTCAGAACTAGACATCTATCACTGCTTTTATTATGCCTTTTTATTGCCTTAAGGATCATGCGGTGGTTGAAACACTCTCCGCAGGTAACATCCTCTGGAACTGGAAAAGCCAAATTCATGCTAATCAAGTAGGGTTACATTTTCATAAGGGTAGGGGGAAGGTGTCGGGTAAAATACAGAAAGTTCCCAGGTGTTCCCTACAATGACTCTACCTCTAATTTTCTCCGCTTCTGAAAAGTTCACTTCCTGACTTTGACTTAACACTATTTGACAGAGTGGTTCTGATACCAAGTTTGCTTCACGAAGAACAGTTATAAGTCTATTTCTCCAAACATCTTAAAGCAAAGATCTGTGGATGTTAAACTTTCTGTATTCTTATGCGTCTGAAAGTATCTTTATTTTTGTTTTTACTCTTTTTAAAAATATATTTTATTGATTATGCTATTACAGTTGTCCCATTTTCCTCTCTTCACTCCCCTCTGCCCTGCACACCCTCCCCACCCACATTCCCTCCTTTTAATTCATATCCATGGGTTGTACATAGAAGTTCTTTGGCTTCTACATTTTTTATAGTATTCTTACCCTCCCCTTGTCCAATTCCTACCTACCATCTATGCTAGTTATTCTCTGTACCTTTTCCCCCTTTCTCCTCCTCCCACTCCCCTGTTGATAACCCTCCATGTGATCTCCATTTCTATGTTTCTGTTCCTGTCCTAGTTGTTTGCTCAGTTTGCTTTTGTTTTCATTTTTAGGGGTGGTTGTTAATAATTGTGAGTTTGCTGTCATTTTACTGTACATGTTTTTTATCTTCTTTTTCTTAGATAAGTTCCTTTAACATTTCATATAATAAGGGCTTGGTGATGATGAACTCCTTGAACTTGACCTTATCTGAGAAGCACTTTATCTGCCCTTCCATTCTAAATGAAAGCTTTGCTGGATAGAGCAATTTTGGATGTAGGTCCTCACCTTTCATGACTTGGAATACTTCTTTCCAGCCCTTTCTTGTCTGTAAGGTCCCTTTTGAGAAATCAGCTCACAGTCTGATAACTTTTTTGTAAGTGACTGTCTCCTTATCTCTTGCTGCTTCTAGGATTCTCTCCTTAATTTTAATCTTGACTAATATGATTATGATGTTCCTTGGTGTGTTCCTCCTTGGGTCCACCTTTTGGGACTCTCTGAGCTTCCTGGATTTCCTGGAAGTCTATTTCCTTTGCCAGATTGGGGAAGTTCTCCTTTATTATTTGTTTAAATAACTTTTCCACTTGTTGCTCTTCCTCTTTTCCTTCTAGTACCCCTATAATTCAGATGTTGGAACTTTTAAGGATGTCCTGGAGGTTCCTAAGCCTCTCATTTCTTTGAATTCTTGTTTCTTCATTCTTTTCTGTTTGGTTGTTTCTTCCTTCCTTCTGGTTCACTCCATTGATTTGAGTCCTGGTCTCCTTCCCATCACTATTAGTTCCCTGTACATTTTTCTTTATTTCATTTAGCATAGGCTTCATTTTTTCATCTATCTTTTTACCAAATTCAACCAATTCTGTGAGCTTCCTGATGACCAGTGGTTTGAACTGTGGATCTGATAGGTTGGCTATCTCTTTGTTGCTTAGTTGTATTTTTTCTGGACCTTTGATCTGTTCTCTAGTTTGGGCCATTTTTTTTTTGTCTTGGCTCACCTGTTATATGGTGAGGGGTGGAGCCATAGGTGTTCACCAGGGCAGGGTATCTCACATCAGTGCATTATGACATTGTATGTGGGGAAAGGGGTCCAAGAGGGAATAATGGAGCTTGCTCCTCTTTCCGCCAGATTTCAGTCACTTCCCCCACTTCCCACAAGCAAACTAGGCCCTTCTTATGCTGATTCTCAGATGGGTGGGTTTGTGTACATTCTAGGCCCCTGTGCATCTCTCCAGCAAATTCTCCTATGAGGCTGGGAGTTTCTCCTGCTGCCTCAACCCCCACTGGTATTTTCCATCAGTGGTTTGAGGCTTTATTTCCCAGTGCAGGGGCCATGGGTTTTGCAGATCGTCCCACTCCCCCATTGTTTCTCTGGGTTTATCTATATGTGAATGGTGACCCACCCTGGTCCTCCAGCCTCTGCCTTGACACAAGTCCTCTCCACCCCTCTTACTGGTCTGGATAACTATGTCTTCTGTAACTCCTTGGTTGTCGGACTTCCATACAGTTCGATTTCCTGTCAGTTTTGGTTGTGTTTGTTTTTAAATTGTTGTTGTCCTTCTTTTGGTTGTTCGAGGAAGCACAGTGTGTCTACCTACACCTCCATCTTGGCCAGAAGTCCTGTTTCCAATCTTGAGTGACAATTTGACTTATCAAAAATATCTAGGCTCAAAGCATTTTTTGTTGTTATTTTACCTCAGTACTTTGAAAGTAGTTTCTTTGTTTTTTTAGAGCTAGTGTTAGTGATGAAAAATGTAATGACATTTTCTTATTCTTTATAGTAGTCTGTGTTTTTTCTATAGAAGCTTGATTTACTTCACTTTTTATAAGTTTCATCATGAGCTTAGATATGAGTTTTTTCCCCAATTAATTTTGACCAGCATTTTATTTGATCAGTGTTTAAAATCTGAAGACACGATTCTTTAAAATTTTTTTCTATTTTACCTGTCTTCTGAGTTTTTTATATTAAACATAGTTTTTATTTCTAAGATGTATAATTGGCTATTTTTCTTAATGTATATGTTTCATCACCTATTTTTATTTGGTTGTTGATTTCCTCCTTTATTTCTTTGAAAATATTAAATGTATTTATTTAATATTTCTAACCCAGGCTTTTACTTATTTTCTTGTTTTAGAATTATTTATTTAAAAACAAGTAACAGAATAATAAAGAAATACATTCAATAGTACTAAAAGAAATCAATATAAAATATATTTCATTAAGGTATAATTAAAATACTCAAAATGGCACATATCTCTATTATTTCAAGCCAGTATAATACCTTTTTTGAAAACAAATTATTTTTTATTGTTTATTGTTTATTTTATTACAGTTGTCCCAATTCTTTTTTCTCTTTTGCCCCCTTCCACATTGCACCCTTCTCACCCGCGGTCCATCCCCTCTCTGTTGTCCATGTCCACAGGTCATTCCTACATGTTCAGTGACTAGTCCCTTCCCTCTCCTTCCATTCTTTCTTCTCTTCTTCCTTCCCTCCTCCTACAGCTATTGGTGTGTTCCATGTTTCCATGTCTTTTAATTAAGACTTTCATATTTTGTCAAGCATTTTTTGCTCAATTGTTTCTTAGATTGTGTGGAGACAATTTCATCTACTTCAAAGAGTTGTAAGTGTGAAAATATATAATATAAAAAAATGTCTCAGAAGAGTGGTTAGCCATACAATAAACCGACTATTTTTTCACCATTCTTCTTAAGTAATTTGACTATATTCTTTCTTTGCTTCTCATTGATATTCCCATCTTTATCCCTTTTATTTTCAGCCACCTATTACTTTAAAAAGAAAGAAATGAAAAATGCACCACGTCACTTCCTTCTCCCAATTGTTTTCATTTGTCATTTTAATGGTTTCTAAATAGAGATTCTGCACCGTCCCTCAAGATCAGAAACTGTCTCTTGGTGTAACTCCTGATTGACTAGAAGTCGCTTTTCTTACGGTCTACATTTATTTGAAGGAAGTCTAAACCTACCTCTTGTGTTAATAAATTGGCTCACTACACATAATTGTTGAGGTGATTGCTCTTCATCTCTCTTCTCGTCATGTAGTTTTCTTTATTGAATTAATGCGTGTAAAATGCTATACACTGCGCCATGCATAGAGTGATTTCTCAGTAAAGTTGGGTGCTGCTATTATTAAGATTTTATCTTTTTGAAAAAGGAATGGCAATTAAAATTGATGATGTTCCTGAAATATTTTACTATGCTAATATAGAGACTTATGTATTTTCTTCCTTCGCCAGGGAACATAATGGGAAGAAACAGTGCAAACTGAGATTTAAGGGCTTCTGTCTTTAGCATTGAAGAGAGATGCAAGGAAAAATTCCTATAGATTTTTAGGGATTGTAAAAGGGTGATTGTTCCTAAAGGCAAAGAGTGACTACATAAAATCAAGTCTTTTCTGATCCTGTGTGAGCCTTCTAGTATTTGGTAAATGTAATCTCACAATCTATCCTAAAAAAAAGTATTCTGAAATACAACAAAAAAGTTTTGAGGAAAATATCTTTCTATTTATGCATGTTTGAAAACCATAAGTATCTTATGTCATTATTAAAATAATATTTAAAGACTCAACATGGGAAAATGCTTGTTATAATTTTAAAAGAAAAAATGTGGGATAATAGACTGTATAGAGTATTAACTCAAATACTGGAATAGTTTCATAGAAAAAAGACTAAAAGGAAACTCACCAAAATATTTTCTATGGTTGGTTCAGAATGGTCTTTTTCTGTATATTTTCCTGTATTTTAATTTTCTGCAAATTGGCTTGAATGATCAAGGAAATAAAAAAAAATCAATAGCCTAGTATTATCTGCATGAATTAACTTACAAGTTGTTCAAATCAATTGAGATAGAGTATGTGAAAGCATGTTGTATACTATAAACCAAAGTAGTAAGGTAAATTATTGTTATTATCAATCACTGCATCTTTTGAACTCTCATATGGAGAGCTTTTTTTTCAGCCAACTTTATCTAATTTATTTCTGTCAATACACATGGGGTTCCAAAACACTTGGAAAAATCTCCCTGAAGATACTAAACTGTGTTATCAGTTTTGTTATTGTCTTGAACTATTACAGTAATGATAACAAAGCCTTTAAGCCTGTTTTATCTCATGTTCTTATACCCAGAAAGCAGAAGCACCCACCTCAAAAAAGAGAGGGAGAGAGAAAGAGAAGATTGTTGACCTTTAAAATACAGCTTTACAACAACTTTCTTGAAAAGGTGAGTTAGTTAAATCAAGGGCAGAGAAAATACCAAAATTTACACGAACAAATGTATGCTTATTAAGCAGCACATTAACTGCAAGTGATTTCATGTGTAGATTACTTATCATTTGAATGCAATTTTCTAAATTTTTTTAATATGAGTCTTTCCAAAAGTGCTCTGGTATTTAATAACATGTGCTATTATTAAGACAGTTGTTAAAGCACCCATATTTTGTTCAGTGCCTGACCCTTTCAAGATACTGCCTAAGACAATGCTACAGTAGTTACTTAAAATTGGAGGTGACTATTTCTGGATGTTCTGGCATCTTTCCTCTTCAAATGTGTATACCTACACCTAGCACAGTTCCTGGCAGATAGTAGGTGCTCAATAAATGTTGAAAAGAATGTATGTATTCATGAAAAGATAGATCTAGAGGCCAAAATACTTTAAGTTGAGGAGGGGGAAAGGAAGCAAACAATAGATATTGTGACCTTAGATGTTCTTTCTTAGTGAATAAGGATGGTTTCTAACTCTAAGGAAGAGGTGCTTTTTATTACCCAGGCTAAACTCCTCATACCCTTCCTTTCCCCTTCCTCTGTGAACTTTACTTGACTCAAGGAAGATCACTTCACTACACCTAAATCTCTCCCCCAACAAACAAACAAAAACAAAAAATCCCATCACCATCATCAACTAAAATTCTGATTCTACTTACTGACCATAAACATCCTATTTTCATCATTTCCTTTTGCATAAGTGGTGTACAATTACTACAGTATACTGATGGCTTTGCCACCATATGGTCCCCTTGTATTCATTTTTTCTGTTTTATTACTCTCAGCTACACCACCTGAAATCTCACCTATTTTTCAAGACTAAGCTTAAGAATCATCTCTCCCACCAAGCCTTCTCTGTCTCCTGTAACTGGAAGCTTCCCTGAGAAAGCCGGCATATCCTGTGCTGCTTCTATGACATGCAGCCTAGCCTGCCTTTTACTCTATGCAATACTATGGGTTTCATTTTCGTAACACAGCCCAGATTCAATAGATACTGCTTGAATGAGCATTGATAAACTGAATACCTTAAATGAGGATGGCAAAAAAGGTTAAAGGTTTTTTTTACAAAATAAACTTTTTCCTATAATCACTCCAATAAACAATTCATTTGAAATGCTATTTCTGTTCATATCTGACCACTAGAATGAATGAAGTTATCAGCAATTTAGCTAGCTTCCATCTTCAGCTCGCAGCATATTATTAGAAATGGTGATGGTGACATAACCTCAGTTCCTCCCTCTATTGTGGGAGGGTACTAATGCCTTAATATCATGTGAGTTACTAAAATCTTGATTTCTCTAATGAAACTTCAAAGGAATTGCAGGTCATGTCTGAAAGACTGATTTCTGAATCAATTCCAAACTATTACTTAAGACTACAGATGAGGATTTCTGGTTTGTTTTCAAATGGTTCTGATATGTCATATTTTGTCATGTTTTTCATATGGTACTGGTTTATCACTGTATTTATCAAATAGCATCCCCATTTTAACTGAGAATCCAAGAAGGATACAGAACTTGTAAAGATTAGGTACAATAAAAAAGTCATGAATGGTTCTTGGAATTTGGTAAAATGAAATGCTGCATCTAAGTGCAACATAAATGCAAATCTTAGCCATATAAAATCATTATCATAAAACAATCATGATTAAAAAACTCTAATTGAATCACTATTCTTTCCAAAAGATTGGAATTCTAAGGATACTTCTTAGAAGCTCTCAAATTTAATATGAGGCAGGAAATATTGCAATGAATATTCAAGAGTGAGAAATTAAAAAAAACAGTTGTGCCATTCTTTCATTATGCCTTTTAATCAATTCATTATTCATAACTATATAGTACTTAATGTGTGGTGAAGAATGTAGTCATAGAAGAATGTATCTGTCAGCATATTTGATTATAAAAAAGAATAAAAGTAAAAACAATAAGTGTACTCAGTAGGTTCTCATCTTTTACATTTGAAACTTTAGATATATACATTAATTTTTGGAAGAAATATAAAAAGCCAAATATTTAAAGTGAATATTTATACCATAACTAGATAAAACAATAAAGAAAATGTATATTTAAAATAATGTGTATTTATGACATAACTAGGCAAAAGCAACCCTTTTATTTATTTTTCCTTTTCTTGTAACTGTTCTTGTTTATTGAATTTATTGGGGTGACATTGGTTAATAAAATTATATAGGTTTCAGGTATACAATTCTATAAAACATCTGTATATTGTATTGTGTGTTTACCACCCCAAGTCAAGTCTCCTTCTTCAGATGTCAGAGCAGGAACCAATAAGCTTCACAAATGGTATTTCCAAAGGGAAGCTTTGGCAGACATCTAATCCTGCTGAAGCAAATTATTCTTCCTGTGATCAGCACCTGCACAGCAGCTTGCATGTCATGGTCTGGGCTAAGCCTCACAGTTAGCCAACCTGAGGGTTGATCCCACACATGAATGGGCCAATAGCAGTTGAGGCTCAGTTACAACACATAGCCCACACAAGGGACATTCCTAGGGTACCCAGCTCAGGTGGTGAGGAGACTATGCTTGTGGGTCCCATAGGACACCTAATATGTATAAGGCCACCCTACCAAGTCTGGAAGTCATAGCAGATCTATCTAATACATAGAAACAAACACAAAGAGGCAGCCAAACTGAGGAGACAAAAAAAACAGGTCCCAAATGAAAGAATAGGAGAACTCTCCAGATAAAAAGAGCTAAATGAAATGGAGGCAAGCAATTTACCAGATACAGAGTTCAAAGTAATAGTGTTAAGGATGCCCAAGGAACTTAGTGAGGATTACAACAGCATGGAAAAGGACATAGAAAATATAAAAATTACCAGTCATAAATGAATACAACATATGACATCAAGAATACAATGGAAGGAATAAATAGTAGGTTAGATGAAGCAGAGGACTGAATCACTGATTTGGAAGACAAGGTGGAAAAAAAACACCCAATTAGAACAGCACAAAGAAAAAGAGAATTTTAAAGAATGAAGATAGTTGTAAGAGACCTTCAGGACAACATGAAGTGTAACAACATCCACATCACAAGGGCACTAGAAGGAGAAGAGAGAGAGCAAGGGATTGAGAACCTATTTGAAGAAATAATGACTAAAAACTTTTCTAACCCAGTGAAGGAAAAAAAAACACACATGTCCAGGAAGCTCAGAGAGTCCCAAACAAGATGAAGCTAAAGAGCTACATACCAAAACAGATCATAGGTAAAAGCAACTCCAGTGGTTTAGTAAAGCCAGACATGTGATTTTTTTTGACTACCTGGACAATACCAACAGGAAAATGATGCCAAATATGCATATCATTTTGCAGCTGTACCTACAAGGACACAAATGATATTTTAATATTCAATCAGAAATATTACATATATAAAAGTTATGGAAATCTACCACTAAACTTTGCAATGAGTAAGATTTTAGTGGAGTCAGTGTTAGTATAAAATTTTAATATTCTAAAATAATATGCAGAGTTTGAAGGTACAAAGGATACCAAAGTGGAGAAAGAAAAGGATGCTTAAAGGATCTATTGAACTTGAGTCGTCACCCACAAGTTTAAGAAATGAAATGCCTAATTTTATATACTTCTGGATCATATTTAAAGATGCTTTAATTTAGCCAGTTATTCTGTTTTTCTGTCTTCTCATATGTTGACATTCCGAGCGCCATCTTGACTTTAGTAAGCTATTATATCAGGCGGCATTGAATAGGCTATACTTCAGTAATAAATCTTAGTAGCTTAAAACAAGACAAGTTTGTTTCTTGCTGCTATAACATGTCCATCATAAGTTGGCTAGGGATTCTGCTGTACATTATTCTCATTTAGGGACCCTAGCTGAAAAAGAGTCTCCACCTTTATTCTTTCATAATTACTGCAGAAAGGAAAAGTAAAATGTTAAATAGCAACACTATTAAAATGTCTTCCTAGAAGTGCTATTTGTCACTTCCGATCACATTACTTGACTAAAGCAAATCATATGGCCCTGCTAACTTCAAATGGGGTCAAGAACAGTAATCCCCTTACTTGCTCAGAAGGAGAAAAGCCAGGAAATTTAGTGTGCTAATGAGTTCCACACCCATCTGGAAAAGATTGGACATGGCAACTCCTCTAATTCATTGTTTGTTCAAGCCAAATTCCTTTTCTAGGTATAGAACTAGAAGGATGTTAATGAATAACTTTCTTCAAAGACTGAATGTAAGAGAATATTATATGGAACACTAGGGTAAACTGTTTTATTCTTCACTCACTTATTTATGGATTTATGGTCTTCCTTTTCACCAAGAAGCTGTAATTTGGTAGAAAACATAGGCCTGGGCTCCATGAAGGAATTGGAGGATGACACAGAATATCATTTCATTCAAGCAAATGGTCATAGGCCACATAATAAAGCAATAGGGACAGATAATATTAAGTGAAGGATCAGTGTTGAGTGGAGTAGGTTTAGAAAGTTTCATTGACAAAGATATACCATTAGATGAACAGGAAATATTAGGTTTAAACTGATAGAGTGTATTTCTAGTACAAAACATAGCAACTAAAAGTCCAGAAATGGGAATGAGCAAGGAAGAGGCAGAGATATTTCCTCGGCTGGAGTAAAGGGTAAGATTAGAGGTTGAAGTGGCACATTAGGGTCAGATGCCTATGAACTTGAACACCAGGCTAAAATGTTTGTATTCAACCTGATGGTCAACCATAAGAAACTATGGATTTAACCAAAGCAAGAATAAAAAGAATGTTTTAAGTTGTAAGAATTTTTAGGATAAACTTAAAGAAGAAATTCCTAAGAGGTTATGTTAGGCCACAAAAAATATCAGGAAAGCTGAAAATGGGGTTCCTCTTAGACCTCAAGGAGTTTCAATCTGGTTGGGGAGATAGACCATGTCTTTGAAGTAAAAGTAGTTTTTGGTTAAAAATTTAAAAAATATTTAATAAATAGTGTTGGGAAAATTGGACAGATACATGGGGAAAAAAGGAAACTATACTACCAACGTATACCATACAAAAGGATAAAATCCAAATGGAAAAACATTCAATTGCAAGTTGCAAAACCATAAAAATCCTAGAAGAACATAGGCAGTAAAATTTCAGATATCTCATGTAGCAATATTTTTGCTGATATATCTCCTAGGGCAAGTGAAACAAAAGAAAACATTTAAAAATGTGACTACATCAAATTAAAAACCATATGCAGAGCTAAAGAAACCATCAACAAAATGAAAAGGGGACCTAATATATGGGAGAACATGTTTGCCAATGATATATCAGACAAGGTTTTAATCTCCAAAATATATTGAGGACTCATATGACTCAACACCAGGAAAACAAAACAATCCAATTTAAAAAATGGGCAAAGGACCTGAATAGACACCTTTTCAAAGAGGACATACATATATGAAAAAGATGCTCAACATCACTAATCATCAGAGAGATACAAATTAAAACCAAAATGAGATATCACCTCACACCTGCCAGAATAGCTACCATTAATAAATCAACAAACAAGTGTTGGAGAGGATGTGGAGAAAAAGGAACCCTTATGTACTGTTGGTGGGAATTCAGATGGGTGTAGCCACTGTGGAAAACAGTATGGAGTTTCCTCAAAAATTAAAAACAGAACTACCTTTTGACCCAGCAATCCTACTTCTGGGAATATATCCTAAGAATACTGAAACACCAATTCAAAAGAATACTTGTACCACCACATTCATAGCAGCATTATTTACAATAGCCAAGATCTGTAAATGGCCCAAGTGGCCTTAAGTAGACGAGTGGATAAAAAAAATGATGGTACATTTACACAGTGGAATACCGCATAGCAATAAAAAGAAGGAACTCCTGCCTTTTGCTACAACATGGATGGAACTGGAGACTATTATGCTAAGTGAAATAAGCCAGTCAGTAAAAGACAAATACCATATAATTTCACCTACATGTGGAATCTAATGAACAAAATAAAATTATTAAAAATAAATAAATAAATAAATGAACAAAATAAACTAATAAACAAAACAGTAACAAACGGATGGCTACATGGAACAGACTGAGAGCTTTCAGAGGGGAGGAGGGAGAGGAACTAGAAGAAAGAAGGTGAAGGGAGTAGCCAAAGAATATATATGGGTTACCCATGGACATAGACAAGAGTGTGATGGAGGGAGGGAGGAGGAAGTGGGGACCTTGTGGAGGTGGTAAATTGGGGGAGGAGTGGGGACAATTGTAATAGTGTAAACAATAAAAAATGAAAAAAGTTTTCAAGTATAAATTTGGTCACTGATGAAAACTTTCCCCCAAGAAATAGTAATAAAAAATGAAACTCTAATTCAATCATTCAAAAAGGTTCATCTAGAGATAAGAGGTTGATTTATTTAGTTTGCAATGATAAAACACACACATATAAAATGTAAATATGTACCTGGCTGGTGTGGCTCAGTGGACTGAATGCCAGCCTGTGAACTAAAGAGTTGCTGGTTCAATTCCCAGTCAGGGCACATGCTTGGGTTGTAGGCCAGGTCCCCTTTTGGGGGTGGGTGAGAGGCAACCACACATTGATGTATCTCTTTCTCCTTTTCTTCCTCTCTCTCTAAAAATAAATACAAATCTAAAAATAGAATTAAATTAAAATAAAAATATATGTGTAAATTTGTATATCTGCTACCTAACAAAAGAGTATATTGTATTCTCAAATCACAAGTAAATAAAAATTCATTTTGTTCTATTAATTGAAACATGAACCATGGTTTTATGGGAAAAGCACGGTCTTTTAAAAAAAGATTTTATTTATTTATTTTTAGAGAGAGGAGAAGGGAGGGAGAAAGAGAGGAAGAGAAACATCAATGTATGGTTCTCTCTTACACACCCCCTACCAGGCACCTGGCCTACAAACCAGGTATGTTACCCTGACTGGGAATCAAACTAGCAACTCTTTGGCTTACAGGCCTGGGCTCAATCCACTGAGCTACACCAGCCAGGGCTAAATTTTTTATTTTTAAGTATATTTTATTGATTATGCTTTTGCAGTTATTCAGATTTTTTCCATTTGCCCCCCTCTATTCAGTATCATCCTTCCCTGCAGCAGTCCCCCCCTAGTTCATGTCCATGGGTCATGCTTATAAGTTCTTTGGTTTCTCCCCTTCCTATACTATTCTTAACTTCCCCCTGTCTATTTTGTTCCTACAAATGCTTATTGACCCCTGCACCATTTCCCTCTTTCTCCCCATTGTCCCCTCCCAGTTGATAATCCTCCAAATGATCCCCATATCTATGATTATGTTCCTGTTCTGCTTGTCTGGTTGTTTGCTTAGATTGTTTTTGTTTTCTTTTTAGTTCAGTTGTTGATAGTTGTGAGTTTGTTGTCATTTTACTGTTTATATTTTTTATCTTTTTCTTTTTTGCAAATAAGTCCCTTTAACCATTTCATATAATAAAAGCTTAGTAATGATGAATTCCTTTAATTTTACCTTGTCTGGAAAGCATTTTATTTGCCCCTCCATTCTACCTGATAGCTTTGCTGGATAGAGTAATCTTGGTTGTATGCCCTTGCTTTTCATGACTTGGAATACTTCTTTCCAGCCCCTCCTTGCCTGTAAAATTTCTTTTGAGAAATCAGCTGACAATCTTATGGGAACTCCTTTGTAGGTAACTGTCTGCTTTTCTCTTGCTACTTATAGGATGCTCTCTTTATCTTTAAACCTTGGCATTTTATTTTATTTTATTTTACTTTAAAAAAAATGTCTTTTTAAATTGTTGTTCAAGTAGTTTTCTAGATTCCCCCCCCCCACTCCTCCCTGATTCCCACCCTCAAACCCACCCTCTTTGGCTTTGTCCATGTGTTTTTTATACATGTTCCTTGATGGCCCTTCCTCTCTTTTTCTCTATTATCCTTCCTCCCCCCTCTCTGGTTTCTGTCAATTTTTTTCTTTATGTCAATGTCTCTGGTTACATTTTGCTTGTTTATTTGTTTGTTTGTTTGCTAATTATATTTTATACTTATAGGAGAGATCATATGGTATTTATCTTTCACTGCCTGGCTTATTTCACTCAGCATAATGCTTTCCAGTTCCATCCATGCTGTTGCAAAGGGTAGGAGCTCCTTCTTTCTTTCTGTTGCATAGAATTCCATTGTGTAAATGTACCATAGTTTTTTGATCCATTCATTTACTGATAGGCATTCAGGCTGCTTCCAGCACTTGGCTATTGTAAATTGGGCTGCTGTGAACATTGGTATGCATAGGTTTTTTGGATTGGTGTTTCAGGGTTCTTAGGATATACTCCTAACAGTAGAATTGCTAGGTCAAAAGGCATGTTCATTTTTAGTTTTCTTAGAAAATTCCATACTGTTTTCCATAGTGGTTGTACCAGTCTGGGACAGTCTGGTATTTCTAAAGTGTTCATGATCCTTGATTGGTTTTGTTCCAGTTAGCAGATGTTCTCTCTTCTCATCCCAAGAGCAGAACTTCTCAGCAATGACTACTCCCCAAAATTATTTGTGGTGAACAATGGGGTCATATTTTATGGATAAGGAAACTATACAAAATAAGTAGCGTTCAAGGAGTTAGTTGAGCTCTGGTGGGCGTGGCTCGGTTGGTTAAACATCGGTCTGCAATAGGAAAGGTCTCCAGTTCAATTCCTGATTGGGGCACATGCCTGGGTTGTGGGTTTGAAAAACAACCAATCAACGGTTCTCTGTAACATCAGTGTTTCTTTCCCTGTCCTTCTCCCTCCCTTCCCCTCTTTTAAAATAAATAAAATAAAATAAAAGTTGAAAACATAGCACTATTTAACTCATGGCATTTGGTTTATACACTGTGCTGATTTTGTTGTCCCCCAGTAGGTTAATTGCACCTTGTCTTATAGAAAAAAAGTTATGTGTATTAGTGTATCAGTCCTTCAATTGTATCCCAAGGACCATATTTAGCTAATATAAGTTCCATGGGGATTTAATCATTCTCAAAATTGTGTTCCTTGTACTTTCCTTATATTTGCTCTATACTTTGAGTATAGGAGATCTTAAAGAATGGTAATATATAAAATGAAAATGAAGAAATAAAATAGAAATCCATATTTAATACCCTTAAGGTAATAATCATGAAATTTTCATTTGAAAATGTTCTATGAATATGCTAGCAAGCCATTGGCTTAATGGAGTATTGAGGTCTGATATTTCCTCTGACTGAGTAGGTTAGCACAATGTGGAACTAATGTTCTTAGTCTAAGCAATTATGAAGAAATGAACAATGGTGATCATTCTCCTGAAGTATTTTACTTCAGTGGTTCCTTAAGAGATGGTCCAGAGTTTCTCTTTTATTGGAGCATCATTCACTACTTACATTTTATTGATCACAGATCTTGCAATGGCGTGTGTATGTGTAAAACTCACTTAAGGTGACAAAATAAATTTTTTGTGACTCAGTTGGGCCAGGTAAGTATTTCAGCATTAATGTGTGAGGGGCTTTGGGACAAATACATCTGACAAGCCACTGAGAAAAAAAGTGCTTTGTTATTTGAAGTGAGTACAGCTACGTCATACAAACAAATAAAAAACATACCCTAAAAAAATAAAGAAAGAGAAAGGGGGAAAACACCACAGCTTAAATTATAGATTTGTAAATGTTCTGCTGTTTTATAATTTTTTAGTTGAAACTACAGTTCTCTTTTTCTTCTTTCTATTTTTATAGCCCAGAAGATGGACATTTGGCAAGCCATAATAGACTGCTCCTTTCCCAGGTATGTCCTGCCTGTTTCCTTTATCTGTGAATAGGAAATGGCTTAAAGGCACCTGTGTGATGAAGGTCCCAGGGGCAGCTGCCTGACCAGTGAATGCCTGATTATGTGTTAACATGCTTTGTCAGATATTGGCAGAATCTGTTCTCTTCTTTTGCCTTTTCAGTGAGGGTACCATTGACAGCCTGGCTACCCATTTATAGAAATGTTGTCCATCAAACTGTGAGGAAGGACAATGGTGTTTTTCTGTGGCCAGTGACTGTGGGAAACTTTCCTTTGGCTATTCAGGCAATTTTTAGAGCTTGCTCTGAAGAGGAGAGACTGATGAGTGCAAAAAGTACAATTAAGCAAAGCCAGACTTCAATTGAAGGCTCTCGTGTAGTCTGCTGTTCTCATTTTTTTTAAAATTTAGAGGGGAAAAAACCCTATGGGTTTTCATGTTGCTGTGTGGCATTCAGCAGGGGGCTATTACAATCCTAAATTTTTTTTCTAGACCACCTAATTCTAAGTTAAAATTAAATGTAATGAGAGCCACTTGGAGTTCTGAATATTTTAAAGCATAATTCCCACAGAAGGGATTCGACCTAAACTGCAGTGAGCATCAGTTGGCTAATTATAGCTGCATTTTATATTACAGCAGGTGTCAGATGCAGTCATCTCAATAAAGTCCACATAATACTGTGGGAAATAACAAAGACTTTTCTTTGAATGTGGGTACTAATTTCTGCTAGGTGTCATATGAGCCTTGATACTTCTTATTGGCATTAACAAGAGCACTGTGGCACTCAGAAATGCTTTTTGCTTTGGATGAATTGATACTGTAAAGCACTTACCAGTCAGAGTTGGCAGATGTCAGTAGTTAATACTAATGTTGCAGAGGTCGGAATATAATGCAAAGAGTCTTATGTAAATACTCTTAGATGATGGGCTGGTTTTGAGAAGGCGCCTGAGCACTGCACCAACTCAGTTAATGAAAGTTAAATAGATAGCAGTGGGGTATCTGCATTTACTTTGGCTCCTGCTTTATTGCAACTCCTCTAGAAGTGAAAGGCAGATGGTAAAGCAGTAAACTAGGTGAACAAAATGCACTGGACTTGGGTAAGGGCTCGTTACGCTCACCATCCTTTCCTTGAACTTGTGTGGGTGATTCGAATTACTAAAGTGATAAGGCAAAAGCACGCCTGAAGATAAGGACTCTGGTTGGGTAACAGATAAAAAAATAAATTGAATTCACAAAGCATGTCTGCAGTTGAAATACATTTGGACAATGGGCTAGGCAAAAGGCATATCACTTGAAAATCATGACGGTTGTCCTGCACTGCTCCATTCTTCTCGGAGATACACAGTTTATCCAACCTATTGCTGTCACATTGGATCATAGCAAATGCAATCAAAACGAAGTACCTATTAAAGTCTTATTACAAATAGCAACTGAGATATGACAAATGTGAACTCTTTATACACATTCCTCTCTGGGATCAACACTGTTTATTTTACCAATTCAGAGTTAATAAAGCAAAGGTGGTATCCTTAATTATGATCCCCCAAATCAGTTTTGGGTTCTCATTTTGGCAGGGCACAGTTTATGCTATCTCATAACAAACCCTATACGGTGCCATCAGCGATTAGGCAGGACTTCAACGAGTTTGACATTTGTTCAACACTGGGTCAATCAATGTTCACTGTGGTAGGGGCTAAACAGGGGCCAGCAGAGAAATCTTAGACAGAAAGAGGGCAATGTCTGTCTTCATGTGCTGACCACTTTTCACAAAAGCAACTCCCCTCACAGCTCTTTTGAAGATTTTTGTTAATTTTCATTTAGATCAGATACGTCTATGAATTTTTAGAAAGTTTAGGACAAAATTGTAAAGTAGTGTACAAAGTCAGAAAAATCACCATAAAGGAGGACAGAGAATCTGCAAATGTCAATCGAGTCTTCAATAATGTTCAAGTGCTTATAATACCTAAAGCCTCAATTGTGGGTGTCTTATTTCTTATTTTTCTTACATAAATAAAATATTTCTCTATTATAGAAAATTTAAAAAACATATATAAGATACAAAAAATCCATAATTCTACTACCTAGCTCAGACATTATTAATATTTTGTTATATATAATTATGTTATATAAATTATGTTTATCTCCATTTTCTCCATTTATATACATATAAAATATATATGTACATTTTAAATCATGGGGAATATTATAATATACTTAGAATGTCTTTATTCTATTATATATTCTTCCACAACATAATTTTTACTGATTACACAATATTTAGTGCATAGATATGCCATATTTTATTTTTAAATTTACTGTTACTGTACCCTTAGCTTATTTCCACTTTTTTGCTGCTAAAACTATCATTTAATGAACAGTCTTGTACCTAGATGTTTTTCTCAGTTCATAATAATTTGCTTATTTTGGGTAGTGGAAATGCTGGATCTAAGAATACCTGCAATTTTTAATTAAAGCTACAGGTTTTAAGGCAATTTTCGTAGAGAAGAAAGATATCTTTAGTATGAAATTCTTCACTGTTTTCCACCTAGGTGTAAAATATTAATTGTAGAAAGATTTAAAAACAAAAGTCAGGAGTTTAGTTTCAAGTACTAAACTGTGAATAAAATAAGATCGTCTGCCTAGGAAATTGACAAGCTATTATCTGATTAGTCAGCAGGTGGCTTCTGTAGTTATGAGATTTCAGTAAAATGGATCTATGTACAGTGAACTATAAATATGCAGTGCCTGGCAGCACGGTGTGACTATCTAAAGTGCCAGGATCATTATTTAGACCTTTATGTGAAAAGGACTCTGGTATATATTTAAACATTATTATATGTAAAGAATTCTGGTGTACCTTGAAATATTGTGTACATATGCGTTGATTGGTCCCATGCCTTTAATATTGTGAAATTAAAAAAGAGCAAAAAGGGTCCTGACCAGTGTGGTCCAGTGGGTTTGGTGTCATCCTGCAAACCAAAATGTCACCAGTTCAACTCCTGGTCAGGACACGTGTCTGGGTTGTGAGCCAGGTCCCCAATCAGAAACCTGTGAGAGACAACTAATCTGTGCTTCTCTTGCACATTGACATGTCTCTCCCTCTCTTTCTCCCTCCCTTCTCCCTCTCTAAAAATGAATGAATGAGATCTTTTTAAAAAAAAGAGAGTAAAAAGGCCATTAGTTTTGGACTGCCTCTAATTTAAGCTATTCAGATTCAACTGGCCCACACTGTGGCTCAGAAATCTTTTTGTATGTCAATTCTAACCATGCTTTACGTAATAATTATGCCAAACCTTCTTCATTCTCCCCCAGGCTAATCCAAGAAAACTCATAGGAACTAGAGAAAGCCATTAATTTCTATGCTTTGCATTGATAGCAAAATAATGTATATTTTGATTTAATAGACTATTAGAGATATTAAGTGAGCTTGGAGATATTGTTGGGATTTAACTGCTTTCCAAGTAGAGTGCTATAACTATAATCACTGTACTTAAAGAATTTAATTAAAGATCTTGAAGATATTAATCCTACATCTAACCCTCACAGAGAGCTGAGATATTCGACTTTTGAATACTTTCAGTTAAGTGTTGATGTCCTATCTTAGCAATACATTTCAGAACTTAATATAGTCTCTTAAATCCCTGTAGTTATTTCATGTAGTAGACACATACTGACACTTATTTGGCACTCCTACAGCAGCCTGTCTGGGCTACCTGTCTACCTACTTTTGGAGAAAACACTTCTCTAACGCTAGACATTAGTGGGTGTTAACAGTTGGGTGTGATCATGGAAATAGTGACAACATGTCCTGAGATATGCTCCCTGAGAAGCAACATCAGAGGCCTAACACTGTGAAGGAATGTAGAATTCGCTAAACGAATCCAGCAATTACGAATAAACGAACAACAATAACAAACCCTGAAGGGGAAGACCAGTACCTGTTTTTCGTAATCTTCCTACCTACATGATGAATGATTCAGAGATGGGCAAAATACCCAAGCAGGGCCCAAGAAAGCCTCCCCGGCACGTTTTATAGTGGAGATGTTGGGTAAGATCTCTCTCCTCCAGGTCTGAGAAGATCTGAGGATGTGATTTTAGGGCTCCTGGCAGCCATGGCTCCTGCCAGACACAGAAACTGCCTGCAATTGCAGAGAACAAAGCTAACATGGAAAAGAGAAACAGAACAAGAGGCAGCGAGAGAGGACTGAGACAGAGAGAATGCTTGCAAGAAACAGCTGCCAGCAGACCGATCCATCTGATTCCACACGTCCCAAAGGCCAGCCTCGGCGCCTCTCTTCTTGTATGATGGCAATGGATAAGCTGCTTACATTCCTTTTTATTCTTTCACATTAACTGATTAGAATTGGTGTTCTGTTACTTTCAAACCTTAGAGTTCCGGCCAATAAACATACTCAATTGTTTCTTATTTGTGTACCCTCAGTAAAATCTCTAGAGTTTATAGTGAGAAATTAGAAGTGGGTTCTTTCTCCCAGAGCTCTTGGTAGGGAACCAAAGGAAAATATTGACAGGGTTCACATTTGAGAGTTCACACAGGACAATTCATAAGACTTCTAATTTTTGTTTTAGTGACTATGCAGTTCTTATTTTAATTTCAGCTTTCAGATTAAATAATTCTGTCATTCATTCTATACTTATTTACTGATGTTTTCCTATGTGCAAGGGACAGTAATAAGTACTGTGGACTGGTAAATAAAATAGCTCCCCTACCTTGAAGAGGCTTCCACCTTAATAGTAATCATGATAGCAAATACATATCTGGAAATTGTTCTAAGTGCTTAATATATTTAACCCTCACCACGACCCTATGAAATGGGAGTTATTATTGCCTGCATTTATGGATGCGGAGACTGAGCCACAAAGGTTTTGAATAGCTTGTCCATGTTCCACAGCCAGGTGATGGAGCTGGGGTTTGAACCCCACTGTGTGGCTCCTGAGCCGAGCTCTTAGCCACTACTTCTTACTGCCTCCTAGAAGTAAAGACTAAACTATTAAGAGAAGTCTTCATATAAGAAAGTTCAAGTTAAGCTCTTAATTAGTAAGTTTCAGAGTGGCAGATCTTCATTGTACCTGTATAAAATGAATCAATAAGTTATTCAACTATTTGTATATGCAGAAACCTAACATGGAGATAAATAACTTTATTTACATGTTTAGCAATTAAAGCTTCTCCTTATGAACACAAACTTCTTTAGTGTTTTCTAACATTTAACCAATTTTTCTGATTGCAATAGGATACATTTATTTTGAATATATAGAAAACATAGAAAATCTTGAAAGTCACTCATAATTTCCCCATCACTATGTACCCATTGATAATATTTATTATTTAGATCATAATATTGTCTTACAATACTTATTTTTCTTAGGTAGGACAGTAATAACAGTGAATCCTATTTCTCTGTTTCACCAAGTATGAGAATGCTGATTCTTTTTTTTCATGTTTGATTATTTTATTATTGTTCAATTACAGTTGTCTAAATTTTCCCCCTACCACTCACCCTCACCCCAAACCAATCCACCTCCCTCCCTTGCTTCCACCCTCTCCCTTAGTTTTATACATGTGTCCTTTATAATAGTTTGTGAAAACCCTTTCCTCCATGGTCCCCTCCCCGCTCCCCTCTGGCTATTGCTAGATTCTTCTTCATTTCAGTGTCTCTGGGTGTATTTTGGTTGCATTTCTTTTTTGTTGATTAGGTTCCAGTTAAAGGTGAGATTGTATGGTATTTGTCTTTCATATCCTCGCTTATTTCACTCAGCATAATGCTCTCCAGTTCCACGCATGCTGTCACAAAGGGTAGGAGCACCTTCTTTCTCTCTGCTGCATAGAATTCCATTGTGTATATGTACCACAATTTTTTGATTCATTCATTTACTCACAGGCACCTAGGTTGCTTCCAACTCTTGGCTATTGTAAATTGTGTTGCTATGAACATTGGGGTGCATAGGTTCTTTTGGATTGGTGCTTCAGGAATTTTAGGCTATAATCCCAGCAGTGGAATTGCTGTGTCAAAAAGCAGTTCCATTTTAGTTTTTTGAAGAAATTCCATGCTGTTTTCCACAGTGGCTGCACCAGTCTGCATTCCCACCAACAGTGCACTAGGGTTCCCTTTTCTCCACATCCTCTCCAACACTTGTTTGTTGATTTGTTTATGATGGCCATTCTGACCAGTGTGAAGTGGTATCTCACTGTGGTCTTAATTTGCATCTCTCCGATGGCTAGTGATGCTGAGCATCTTTTCATATGTGTCTGGGCCCTCTGTATGTCCTCCTTGGAGAAGTGTCTGTTTAAGTGTTTTGCCAATTTTTAAATTGGGTTTTGTGTCTTCTTGGAGTGGAGTTGTGTGTATGAGTTCTGTATATATTTTGGAGATCAAACCCTTGTCCGAGGTATGGGCAAATATGTTTTCTCATATAGTTGGTTTTATTTTCATTTTAATGCTGTTTTTTAGCTGTGCAGAAGCTTTTTAATTTGATGTAGTCCCATTTATTCTTTCCTTTATGTCCTTACTCTAGGGGACATATCAGTGAAGATGTTGCTGCATGGAATGTCTGAGATTTTCCTGCCAATGTTTTCCTCCAGGACTTTTATGGTATCACAACTTATATTTAAGTCTTTTATCCACCTTGAATTTATTTTTGTGTATGGTGTAAGTTGGTGAGTGAGATTTATTTTTTTGCATGTAGCTGTCCAGATCTCCCAACACCATTTGTTGAAGAGGCTATTTTTACTCCATTTTATTCTTCTTCCCCCTTTGTTGAATATTAATTGACCATAGAGACTTGGATTTATTTCTGGGCTCTCTGTTCTGTTCCGTTGGTCTATGTGCCAGTTCTTATGCCAGTACCAGGCTGTTTTGATTACAGTGGCCTTGTAATATAGTTTGATATCAGGTATTGTGATCCCTCTGACTTTGTTCCTCTTTCTCAAAATTGCTGTAGCTATTTGGGGTCATTTAAGGCTCCATATAAATTTCTGAAATGTTTGTTCTATATCTGTGAAATATGTCATTGGTACCTTAATAGGGATTGTGTTGAATCTATGAATTGCTTTGAGTAGTATGGACATTTTGATGATGTTAATTCTTCCAATCCGTGAACATGGTACATGCTCCCCTTTGTTTGTGTCTTCCTTAATTTCTTTCTTTAGTGTTGTGTAGTTTTCTGAGTACAGGTCTTTTACCTCCTTGAGCATGTTGGTTCTAATACATCTTATAAAATTTCAATTCCAATTTTGCTTTAAAAAGATGCTTTTCAGTATTGGGTTTTTTAGTATTTACATTGCAATTGGTTTATGTAATACCAATCTGCATTAACATAATTACTAAAAACTAAGAGAATGCACTAATGGTACATTTCACAGCTATTCCCATAAGCAGGGCAAATAGGCCACTCCTCATTTGAGAAGCACCAATCAAATTACTTTTCTTATTTTGAAGATTTCATTATTCAAATGTGAATATTATGGAGTCTTAATAGTCCTAACTAGTATAAACCAACTTCTCTTTAGCATATTAACTGGGGTTAGTTAATTTTTTGAAAAGGAAACCAGTATCTAGAAATGAGAAGAATGAGAATCAGTGGAAGTGTAATCCACTCATGAAGTGATCTGGGTTAAAATTCTGCCTCTACTATAGCCTGATTGTATTCAACTTCTCTGTATTTCAGTTTCCATATGTGAAGAGTAAGGGACACCCCTTACTGTCCTTGAAGTAAGCTGCCACAAGATAGGTGGCCATGTTGGAGAAGCTCACATGGGAAGGAACTGTGGACAGTCTCTGGCAGCTCAGGGTGACCTCAGTCCTGCAGCAGCAAGGAAATGAATTATGCAGATAACCTGGGGGAGGTTGGAAGCAGATGTTTCCCCAATGTAGCCTCTGAAGAGACCACAACACTGGCTGACACATAGAATTCAGCTTGGTGAGACCCAGTTAAGCAAGTCTTGAACTCCTGACCCACAGAAACCTTAGAATTATACATATGTGTCATTTTAAGCTCTAAATTATGGCAATTGTTATTCAGTGTAGAAAACAGAGTTATGAAAGTCAATTAAGGACTGAAAAACTGTTCCAGATTAAAGGAGACTAAAGTGATAGACGATTAAATGCTTTTCATGATTCTGAACAGGACTGTTCAGACAATTGGGAAAACTTTAATGGGGTCTGAGAATTTAGCAGCAGTGTATCAATGTTATTTTCCTGATTTTGATGCTTACTTTGCAGTTAGGTAGGAGGAGATTTGGTAATAAACATTAAAGCAGTCAAGAATGGAAAAAAAAGTAGTTAATGAAGGTGTTTTTTCTTCCCTTTGAAAGATTGATCATTTTTCTACCAAATTTAAGAAAGGAAGCATTGCTTTCTTTTACTGTTCTCCTAATGGTTAGGAAAGGGGATAAAGTAGAGGAAATTAAATTTGGTGATCAATTACTACCTGCCACAAGTGCGATATCCATTTCACATGAATTATCTAAGTTAAGCTTTACAACAGATGCTAAAGTAAATACTATTGTCCCTATTTTATAGATCAAGTAGTTGGATCATTCCCTGTTCTTCACTGCCTCCCTCTACCGTGACTTTTCAACACCTCCCCCAAGAGCAGGCAGAGTACATCTCCTCACCCCACTGCTGTAGAGATTAGTCATGCAACTTGCTTTGACCAAGGGTCTGAGTGCAGAAGTGATGTGAACTAAGGATTAAATGTACTTGTGTGGACTGGTTTCTTTCCTATGCTTCTGCTATTCACTGTGAAAAGAACCTGCCTGCGTAGCTACTGTTCTGGAATAAAGAGAAACATAAGTATACCTGAACCTAATTCAAAGCCTGGAGCCAAGCCAAGCCAATCCTAGATGAGCCCATCAGAATCAAATCTACCCAAAGGCTTGGTGTACAAAAAATATATGCTTATAAGCATAAGCCGTTGGAATTTTGGAGTTGTCACATATCTTTATTTCAGTGTGTCTGACTGATACACTGGCTCAAATTCATATTCTCAGTCAATGAGTTTGTCTGATTCTAAAACCTATCCTCTTTATCCTGCCTTATGCTGCTACAACTCTGCTAACACTATGTTCATGGACACAAAATTCTACTAGTGCTAGGTGAAATATTTTTGAAGTGTCTTGTAAAGTTATTTTTGTTTCCTATGCTACACATTTATATTTTTAACCATTTTTAAAACATCTTCAGGCATTTATCATAAAATATGATAATCTTTGTATAGTCAAACTGGTAACTTTAGGACTGAGCTATTTTTGTATAGGCTATATTGGTCACATTTTTAAAATGGGAAGTTTTTAAATAATTAGGATCTATATTATTGAAGGTATGTTATTATGATTAGGATATATATTTTGGTTACTTAGGATTTTTTAGGATATTGCCAAAGCATTATGATCCAAAGAATTGAATCTCCAGGTGGCCCATGGGGAGATTTAAATTTTTTTCAGGTGAAATTCTGTTGGTATAAGAGGAACCTCTGGCACCCCACTCTGAATCCCCCCAGCCTGCCTATGATTACTGCCATGGCTGCGGTGGCCAAGAGATGCATGTTCAGACTCAGGTTCATGTTGTCCCACTTCAAACACGCACTTGTATGTTTCTTTTTTTTTGCCCAGTGTCTACTCCGGAGATACAGGAGCTTGCTGGACCTATCTTCAAAGGCAGCCCAGAAGCAGGTGGAGTTAATGCCACCAGGATGCGGTCAACCAGGTGGGGAAGGGGCAGTGGATGAATACTGTAGCCTTCTGCCTTTGGGGCGGGCAGCTTTGGAAGGCATTCTGCATATTTCTTGAAGACCCAAGTGTAACAGAGCCACCTTTGCCCAACAGTCATCTTGTTAACACACCTGCTATTGCTACCCTCTTCTTTCCTGTCCCACTTGCATCCCTCCTTTACTTCTGCTTCCTAGGATCATCTCTCAAGACAACTTCTGTACCCAAATTCTTAGTTGGGAAGAGCTCAAACTAAGAGGCGTTTCCCAGAAACTGAGGAGTAAATACTCTTCCCCCAAGCCAACATGAGTTTGAACATGGTAAGGGAAATAGGAATTGCAAGATTAGATCTCAGTGAGGGCACCTCCCTATTTTGTTACTTGGGTTACATTGTCAGATGGCCATTTGGCAACAGGAATGCACTGGTTTCACACGCCGATCTTGAAAAGCTCCTGGACTGCATTAATAGTCGCCGGCACCTGCTCGCCTTTGTTTATATTGTGGGGACCGAATGCCGTGACTCCTTTGAGCAACAGGGAGGAATGACCTCTCATGCTCACATCTTCTCTCTGTGACTCACTGGATAACTTTGGGCCTACCATTAGGCCTCAGTTTCCACATCTGGAAAGAGAGGAGAAAATTCTACTCTCGCTAATTTGTCTCCTCAAAGACAAAATGAAAAATTTGTAGACGTGCTTTATTGATTGTAAAGACTTTAAAAACACTGGAGCTGGCAGAGTGTGCGCACTAAGGACCTCGGGAGACAAACCGATTTTGCCCAATTTACTGGTTGTGTGACTTTGAGCAAATTACTTTTTGTGCCCCCGCTTCCTCATTTCTAAATGGGGATAATAACAATACCTAATTCAGAGAGTCCTTGAGAAGATAAAGTAAGGTGATATATGAAAAGAATTTAAACAGCACCAGAAACATAGTGGTTAAACATAAATATTATTACTGTTACTAAATATTTGTATATCAGGTGAGTTTTTGAGCACCTAAAATAAGCAAACTCTGAGCAGGAAACAATACTGTATTATTGTAAGCAGCTAATGTTATTTATCCAAATGAATATGAGAGCCATGTATTCACATGTGTACAGTACCAAGCAGTATATACAGAATATTGGTAGAGGGTGGGAGTTGAGCTGGGTGGGAACTGAGAGATGGTTACTATTTTGATATATAAAGGTGGGGGTTGAGGGTTTTAGTCAGTGAGAGGTGCATAAGTGAAGACACAGACAGGGGAGTGTGGAGAGATTTAAGGTTAGACAAGTGTCTTGGGTTCAGGTTGTAGAGTCTGGATTCTCTCTGGAGAGCGGGAGAGAGCCACTGAAGGACTTTTGAGCAAATTGAGCACCACATTAGAAAAATTAATCTGATGGTGGTTTATGTAAAAGAATAACAGATGGAAGGCTTAGATACCAAGAGATCATTTGGAAGAAATGTGTGGTAGATTTTAATGGTGAGGTAACTGATAAAGGACTGAACCCAAGTAGGGCAGTGAGACCAGAACAATCCAGACAGATGTGAGAAGCATTTTGCTGAACAAGTCAAGATGCTGATGAGTTCTTTACTCTTGACTCACAGAAAAGAGCTTACCTATCTGGTTTACCGCAACACATAGCAACCAATTATTAAAAAAAACCACAGGTAGTGGGGGAAGAGAGAGAGATTTGTACACAGCTAGATAATACATTCATTCTTATGGTATACTTTTGTGGGACTTTTCAAAAGGTAACCTTTCTACTATAAAACGTATGCTTTATCACTCCAAAGTGCTTTGAAAGGTGACCCTGGAAACATTTTTAAAATGAGTTAATAATAGGTAGTGGCAACTATAGACATTCCTGGAGAAGTGTCTATTACTTCTGACCTACCCACAAAGTTGGCTTGACCCTGTAATCATTATTGCAGATCAGTCTGTGACAACTATTAATATCCCTGTTTTACAGATAAGAACATAAAGGTGAAAAGTGAGAATTTTATAAACTCCCTTTACAAATCCCTTTCATCCCTCCAGTCCTAGCTCAAATGTCATCTTCTCCCTGAGGACTTTTCAGAGCCTAGAGGCAATCTCAACTTTTTAAACACTTTTTTAGAGTCTTTCATGACATTTAGAGCTGGTATTACAGTCATTTGTATAAATGTTTTATCTCATTTACTCACTTATAAGTTTCTTTAAGATAGAGGGTATTGTATGCATCTTTATATTCCCCTTAGAGCATTGTGTTAGTGCCAGACACATAGTAGGGGGCTCAATAAATGTTTGTTGAATTGAATGAAGTCTGAACACTAGGAAGCCCTACTCTGCTATGGGCATGTTTATTTGAATATGTAAGTGGTAGCTTCCCCAAGGGTCCCTTGAAGAGTGTGTTGATACCTTAGCAGCTCTTTGAAGTTCTGGTGCATTTAATTAAATGTGTAATCTTTTTAGAGTTCTTATACCAAGAAGATAGATTGCAAATTTTAATGTATTCATTGTTCATTGCAAAATAAAGGCCTATGCATCAATTAAGTATTCAGTTGACAAAGACACTAAAGATAAGAAATAACTGGGGTTCAAGTATTAACCAATTGCATTCTTCCTAAAATTAGGTATTTTATCATCTCCGTTTTATTTCATATTCTTTTTCCCCCTATTGTTCAGAAATGATCCCTTGCTAGATAATCCCACTTTCTTCTGTTTTTCTTTCTGTTTTTACTTCATGTAAGGATTTTTCAAAGAATGCTGAGGTCTGGTTCTCTGAAGTGCAGTTTATCAAGGGGACTTGCTTTAAGCCACAGAGAGTTTGCTTGCAAAGGATGGAGCCAGGAGGGTGAGTGTGTGCTGCAGGCTGATCCGCGGCTGCAGCCCGATGGACTGATGCTGCTCTGGGGCTCTAGGCTGCCAGCCCTCTTTAATTAAGGCCATAGCTACCTTTGCAGAGCCTTCCAGCTGCCAGAATGTTCTAGGCTTTGGGATACAGTAATTGGGTTTCTTGAGAGGCCTTGTGATGTCAGGCCCTGTGTCTCAAACAAGGCTGATCATAAGACTGACATAGGAGGCTTGTAAAAATTTTATTCCCAGACCCCATCCTAGAAGCTACTTCCTAGAAGCATCAGGGGAGGGGCCTGGCATATCCGTTTTTAACAAGCACCCAGATTAAATCTTATAATCAAGGGAATTGGGACAGTGTCATATAGTAGCTTAAAATAATTGGCTCCAGTAGCTTTCACCCACTGGCTATGTGACTCATAAGCAAGCTACCTTCCCTCTCTAAGTTAGCTTTCTCCACTGTAAAAGAGGGATAATGACAGTGTTTACCTATTATTGGGATTTTAGAATTAGAGTAAAAGATAGTGTATGTTAAATACTTAGCATAATGTCTGGGATGTAGTGAACTCTCTCTCCTTTTATGATACCAGCAATCTTGCCACCTGAGGGTGTTATACATCCTAGATCACATGATCCAGGAAGTCTTTCCTGTCTAATTCAAAGAGATTCACTGAGCTCCTGTCCTTACTAACTCTGTAGTGTCTCTTCTAGGAGATCATAGTAGTTAGATTTGAAAAGGGCATAGAGGTGTGTAATCCAATACCTTACTAGCATTGGCTTATTTTTGGTCTACTCCTTACTCATTTTCAGTTAACTCCCTTTTCATGTATAGTTGTAGATTACCCTTCTAGGGCCATTTCCCTCCTACCTTCTACTTAGACTGGGCAACCTGGATGACTTCCCAGAGAGTTCCAGGATCACTCATACACCCAGAAAATCCCCTGCTTTGCTTGGTTTTTTGATGGTTGTAGGGTTTGCGCTTCCATCCAGCATCTTTTCATGGCATCTCTGCCTCCCCTGCCCAAAGAGAAACTCTGTGAATGCTTGTCCTGAATCTTAAAAACCAACATATTTTCCTTGGTTCTAGCTATCTAAGAGTCAGCCTTATTAAATTTTGTTATATGTTTGTCTAGTTTTCTGTCTATCTTCTGAATCAGTGTTGTCTCTATTAGACTGTATGTTTCTGAGAGTTGGGATTTTTATTGTTTTCCATTGTCTTATGGAAAAATTCTACACAACAATGTAATAAATGCACAGAAATATGATGCCGGTGTTGGTAGTAAATATGATGGAGTGTCTCAACTGACTAAAACCATCATATTGTCTTTGTTTCCATAAAATTCTTTTCATCCTAAGGTATATTGCCTGATGCCTTTTTTACTTTAAAAACAATTAAATGCACAATTAATCTTTGTCTCTGCATTTCTCCAATTTTAAGAACGACTTCTTTGTGTGCACTGATTTGTCAAGCAAAACTAACAAACATCTCCGGGAAATTTAGAGTACAGAATTTAGAGGCATTCATTTGCTTTTCTTGGCATTTACTTCCTTGAGAAGTCAAAAAATTATCGAAGCATGACTTTTTCATTCCAGAGACTGCATTGGCTATCCTTAATCAAGCTGTGCTTTTCTCAGTGTTCCCCATTTAATCTCCTAAAATACTTCCTAAGACTTTGCCCCCCACAATGGAATCAAAACTAAATGGTCTGTAATTTCCTCAAGTGTTCCCAGATCCTGTTGTAAATAATGACATTGTGCTGGCCACTTTCCAGTCTGAATGAAGTGACCTTATAAAAATGTCTGCTCAGTCTTCTATGTCTTTTTTTTACTTTCTGTAGGGCTCTTGGATCCAGCTCGGCAAACAATACCTATTCCAAGAAACACCATTCTTCACCTCAGTCATGTTATTTCCTTCATATGGGCAGTGCTGTATCCAGAGCTAAAGGACTTGTGTATTAAAGTTAATTAATATTTCAAAATAAGGAGTTATAGGTGCATTATGGCAGAAGATGAGACTGAATGACTTATAAATATCTGATGTGACAGAAAGAAAATATGTATTGTGGTTTCATAAACTCTTTAAGAAAATGTTGAACTTCTATTTATTCATTAGATAGCTTTTATTGTAATCATGTTCAGTACCTTTTTTTAATTAAAAAAAATAAACCATTTCCTACTTTACAAAAACATTTAAAATTAGTCATTCCATGCTGGCAGTTCAAAAAGGAATATTTTGCCTTATTGGTAAAGATAGATATGCTTTCTGAACAATTTTGTTGCATTCAGATGAGAAATATTTGATGTTCTGGTTGTCCTAATGCTCACACCCCCTTCAGCTCCCCGTCAAAAAAAGAGACAAAAAAAAAAAAAAAGAATCAGGACATCTGGCAAGGCCTGGGGAAAAGCAGCTAAGCTCACTGAAGGCACAGGGTGCTTCTCACATGAAGACAGACTGAAAATACAAAAACCCATTAGTGGGAAATAACAAAGGCTGAAAGGGGAGAAGTAACTGGGACCTCTGAATCCCCAGCTATGTGGGACCACCAGCTAGTCCAGCTAATTAAATTTATCCACCCCATTTTTGTTCGTGGCTCCCATAAACATACAAGTTTTATAAATGAGATACAAGTACTGCCACTAAGAGTAGTTAAAAAATGGAGATATTGGGAGTTTTCAACCCGATGGCAGTGATTTTATTATTTTCTTTGAGAAAAACGAAAGGGTAATGAACTTGTGAGAGCGTTTTGAAGTTCAGGAAGCAAATCAAGAAATAAAGACATTATGGGAGTTGTAAAGCTAGTAAATAAGCTGGCAAAAAATTTTCCTTGTAAAGTAGGAGCAAAATAAAAATTATTTAAAATTTGGTCGATTGGTACTGGAGTAAAGTGGATGCTTTGGCTCGTGCTTGCACGACTACAAACGTCACCTGTGTTAGTGGGGGTCAGCGTGCATTCTCGTACCTTCCCTCCACATTGTTTAGCTCTACCAAACACCTACAAACACAGCGCCCCCCTATGTAGGAGAGTGGCAGCAACATCCTATTTAATTAACTAATTAGATGACTCATCCTACACCTAAATTAGCATTATTAGGTCTTTTATAATGATTGTTGAAGCATTGTAAATTAATTTCCTCACTGGCTATGACGATTATTTGCTGCTATCACAGTATTAAGAGAGAATGCCATGCACAGTAGGAAATCTCTATCAGCAGAAAATGAACATGGTCATCCTTGGATCACCAATTAGGAAACCTATTGTGTAGTAAAAACATCATTTCTATGCTGTAATATGATCAAATAACCATTAATTACCTTCACTAGTGAGAATTACCTTCTTTGTTGGAGAAGTAGTGCATTTCATATTTATAGTTCAAAGATGTCAGGAGAAACCAGCAACAAAAACATCAATTTCTAAAAATGATACATGTAATCCAAATCATATTAACCTAACATGGTACATGTCAGATTAAATTAGCATAAGCTTTGTTACTGAACCTGAATAATATAGCTTACCTCTTAGCCTTTAGATCTATTGATTAAATAGTTCATCTTCACCTGCCTACAAATACAAATATAATCAAAGTGCACTGTTCTCTAGGGAACTGAATGGGGAAAAAAAGGCCTGGTAAGTATCCAATCCAGATTCATGATAACTGAAAGCCTGTTTCCTTGCCTAATGCACAGATGACAGAATGAAGATAAGTCCCCAGAGGCTGTTTTTAGAGCTGGTGTGTGTGTGTGTGTGTGTGTGTGTGTGTGTGTGTGTGTGTAAATATGCATGCTTCCTATAAACAGGCTCCAGGAACTTTTATGAGCTCCTCAAGGGGCTCTGTGACTGACCCACACCCCCTCCGAAGTGCACCACCTCAGAAGTGGCGTGCGCGAGTGGCCACTGTGGAGGGGGCAGACCACTCGTGTGCGATCGCAGCGCTCGGCAGCTGTGAACGGACCAGAGTGCAGACAGGAGGCCTCAGCACTGCCCAGCCAGGCCTCTGTAGCCTCCATGGGCAGGGGACGGTGCACTGGTCAGGAGAGGGAGCCCTGGATTAGGTTGTCCGTCTGGTCCCAGCTCCTACCCTTTACCTGCTGTGTGAAGGCAAGGCACCCTAACTTTTCTGTAGCGTAATTTCCTCATATTTAAAATATTACTTTCTTTGAAAGTTTATTTTGACTTTATATATTCTCAAGGAATTTCTGGTGGCTTAAACACCAAATGAAAGACAATGAATTTGACTGTACAAAAATTGAAGTTGCTATAGGACTATAATTATCACAGAAAAAATAACATAAATGATATATTTATTATAAAATAATTTAGCAGGAAAGAGGAAGAAAGGTATTGCAGGGAGAAATGGTAATAAGTGAATTCAGTGTGTTTGTATATTAATAATGCTGGGTATTTAGTCCATAAAATTTGTTATCTATTTTTGTATATGAATAAAATTTTCTGTGTAAAACATAAAACTATATACAGTTTCTGAAGAATAATAACAAACTAAGGGAGAAAGTATAAGATGTATACTCCTAAGCAGCTATTTCTCCTAATATAGAAGGAGGCCATACAAATCAATAAAGTACAAAAAAGCAACATTTTAAAAATAGAAAATGAACACAATTACAGGAAAAAATGCATTGACTTTTATTTTATAAAATATTTATATCTTACTTATTTAAAACTATGTTTAATTAATTTAAATCAATATTATTTATTATTATAAATTTTCATTTATATTTTATGGAATAAAATTCAATTATGTTTCAAATATATTAAATAATTCTCATTTTATTCATAATAAGAGAAATATAAATTTAAACAACAGTGAAAATTCATTTTTATCTTATCATCCTGGCAAAGATCAGAAAGTTTGAGAGTGCATTGTGGGTAATAGTGTAAAGAAGTATAACTTCTTTGAAGAGCAATTTTACAATATCTATTGGAAGTTAACATGTACATTCATGTTAGCCTATCAATTCCACTTCTGGGAATTAACTTACAGATACATGAATTGAAAGCAAAACACATAAGGATATGCAATATATTTCATTGTAATAGCAAAAGATTTGCAATACCCTAAATGCCTGTTAGGAGGGAACTGGTTAAACAGATTATAACATGTCCATATGATGGAATACTAAGAGGTAGTTAAAAAGAATGAGGCAACTCCAAAATATGAGTTGACCTCTAATATATCAAAAATGAAAAGCACAATATATTAGTACATGATCATTTGTGTAAAAAAATACATATGCTCCAAATACATAGAATAGGAATCTCTAGAAGGATATACAAAAAAACGAGGAGTGGAAATGAGGTAGAGGAAGCTATAGGCATGGGAGGGAGCCTTACTCTTCATTGTATGCCCATCTATTTTTTAAACTTTTTTAATCATATACATATATTACCTATTTATTAAAGTATTTTTTTACACTTAAGTGTTTAGAATTGTGTTGGTATGAATTAAATGCTCAATACATGTTATCTGCTCTTTTTGTTACTTCATTGTTACCCCAGCCTCCATTTCAGGCTTAATTTTCCACAGCATGGCACATACCTTTTTACAATACCTACGTGAACAGTGATCAGTCCCCGAATACGCCCTCTGCTCTGCTGCATTATTGTGCTACTTACGTTCATGTGCTCACCTCCTCTTAGATGTTCCCTTTTTCGTCTTTATCTATTGAAATGCCATTTGTCCTTCAAGGCCCAATTTAAATACCTCCTCCTCCTGAATTCCCTATCAGCTGTGTAATCTCAAGAAATTTATGTAACTGCTCAAACCTCAGTTTCCACATCTATTAAGTGGAAGGCGATCATGGAAATTGTAAGAATTAAATGTGATAAGGCAAGTAGTAAATCTGCCCCTGCATTTAGCTAACATACAAGTATTGACTACCTCTTTCGTGTAGCACTGTGACATACACTGGGACTAAGGCCATGCAAAATGTTGACTACATCTCTGCCCTCATGAAGTTCAGAGGACAAAGAGGACACCTCCATCCTGTGGACAGGTGCTATGGCAGGTGTGAGCACAGGGAAGGGAAGTGCAGAGGAGGGGCACCTACCCCCGAATGGCCAACTCTTAGGTGAGAAATAGTTGGGTTGGAAGAAAAGTTTGAAACAAAATCTGATTTTAAGTTTGAGTGACCCCAATGAAGTTATAAGCAGGGAGCAGTAGAAAATTTAAAAAGATTAATCTCAGCACTTCTCATGCCTGTGACTATCTTGGGTCATTGGTCTGTGAGCATGTGATAAAGGCAATCCCCAGGGAGATGGTGTTCCTCTGCCCTCAGCCCTGGAGGGTCTTAGAGAAGAAGTCCTCTTGCTGCCCTGAGCTTATCAGCCTCCATGAAACCAAGCCCTCTGGACCATAAGACAGAAAAATTAAGTTCTTCCCTAGAGAATCATGCCCTTCTCTAAATGGTGTTGCAGGGAGAAATTAAAGTTTGATTTAGATGCTCCTTTGTACCAACGAAGGGATAGGGCCTTCCAGAATTAGGATTATAAAAGGATAGTTCCTTCCCAACCCCTCCAGCTGCCCACTCCTGCCCCAGGTGACCCCACCTGTGTTCTCTTTCCGCCCTCTGGTCACCCCACCTCAGCCCCCATCTCAAACCCCACTTCAGGTCCCAGTTAGGTGATCCCCACTGCTCTCTCTGGGACCAGTCCTCCCCTCGCCTCTCAAGAGGAAGCTCCTTTCTCTGACTCCTTGACAGCACTTGAAAACTCAAGCAAAGCCTCAAGTGTGACTCAGATATGAGTTGAAGTCCCCACTCCGTCCATAGTACTCTTGTTCCCTGAAGAAAAGGCAATGAGAGTATGGTCTCCCCACTGGGGAGAGACGTGTCACTGGCGGAGTAAGTGCGACGTGTAATAACAAGCGTTCCCTTTATCAGACTTATGCTCCATAAAAAAAAGAATATTTCTCCCATTACCTTGGCTTTGGCTTTGCTGTTTAGGGACTAC